TCCACACGTTTTGGGCTCTTGTAGTAAGCAATCACTCCAATATTGCTGACTACAAATGATCTATAACTGGGCTAATAACTCACTAACTAAATGTGCTCATGTCGCTACATGTAGCTCTCACTTTGATCTCAAAACAAGAGCTTCTACCCACAACTGCTGATGCTGTAAACACAGTCCAGTTAAAAGTGAATGGCACCGATCCATAAATCGCAATGGTCTATTTGCATATAGGCCTACTGCAGCTCTGATTGGTTATGGCGCACCAGTCTGTGTAGAGTACCTGCCTGAGTCTTGTCAATGCAGTAGTATCCTACTCCGATGCATTCTGCCTACAACAACATCTCTTGTATAGTTAGTTTTGTATACTAAGCCTTGCATAGTTTGTTTTGTTTTGGTATGTTGCATTGAAAGTGGCTAATATTGCGTTCATTCGATCACAATTCCCACAGTAAAGGGAAATGTTGATAGTGTTAATTAACTAAGGGGGAAAATCTAGAAAGTTGAGTGACGTTCAGTCTCGTGCTTCTCTGCGCGCTCTGCGAAGTGGTAGGCCACATAAGCTCAGAGAACAGGACCGCCAAGTGCTGAAGCGCGTAGCACGTAAAAATCATCTGTCCTCAGTTTCAACACTCACTACTGAGTTCCAAACTGCCTCTGGAAGCAATGTCAGCACAATAACTGTTAGTTGGGAGTTTAATTAAATGGGTTTCCATGGCCGAGCATCCGCACACAAGCCTAAGATCACCATGCACAATAGTGGTGTAAAGCTCGCCGCCATTGGACTCTGAAGCAGTGGAAACGCGTTCTCTGGAGTGATGAATTACGCTTCACCATCTGGCAGTCCGATGGACGAATCTGGGTTTGGCGGATGCCAGGAGAACGCTACCTGCCCCAATGCATAGTGCCAACTGTAAAGTTTAGTGGAGGAGGAGTAATGGTCTGGGGCTGTTTTTCATGGTTTGGGCTAGGCTCCTTAGTTCCAGTGAAGGGAAATCTTAACGCTACAGCATACAATGACATTCTAGATTATTCTGTGCTTCCAACTTTGTGACAACAGTTTGGGGAAGGCCTTTTCCTGTTCCAGCATGTCAATACCCCTGTGCACAAAGCGAGGTCCATACAGAAATTGTTTGTTGAGATCGGTGTGGAAGAACTTGACTGGCCTGCACAGAGCCCTGACCCCAACTCCATCGAACACCTTTGGGATGAATTGGAACGTCGACTGCGAGCCAGGCCTAATCGGCAAACATCAGTGCCCGACCTCACATATGCTCCTGTGGCTGAATGGAAGCAATTCCCCGCAGCAATGTCCCAACATCTAGTGGAAAGCCTTCCCAGAAGAGTGGAGGCTGTTGTAGCAGAAAAGGGGGGGGACCAATTCCATATTAATGCCCATGATTTTTGAATGAGATGTTCGATGAGCATGTGTCCACATACTTTTGGCCATGTAAAGTAAGTCATCATTGTGTGGCCTATATAGGCATTTCTCACATACTAAACATAGTAAACATATATTTTTTATGATTTCTCTGTAGCGGTTGTCAAAGCGTTGAACTCTATTGAAAGCCAATGAACGTGGGTGTCCAACTGAAAAGTTTGATTTTCCAGAACTGCAGCATGTACTCTGGATAATAGAACTGCATCTGGAGTTTCATTCTGAGCATCCTTCCTCCATTCAGATGCTGTCAAAAAGCTTCCCCCAAAATATAACATGTCCTCACCGTGTATTGGTCACTACAATGAACACATCACCAGGGGGCTGTATGTAAAATCAAGAGAAATAGAGAATGTGAAAACAAATTTAACGTATCCTATAAAACAGGTGACACTTTACAGAGTAAAGTATTAATGAAGTTGACATACAATGAATGTACATCGGGACAAGATATTAACATATCAGCCATTTCCTTCACTGTGATTGGATGTTATACATGTATTACTATACCCAAGTCATAGAAAATCAACAACAAGAGACAGACCGCACATTTCTCATTTTTCGGTTTATTGTTGGCATTTTTCGGTTTATTGTTGGTGTGTTGTGTGAGACTGTGTGTATATTTGATTTTACACTGCATGTGTACAACACCTTTCATTATTTGGCCACTTTTTGTTTTGTTCTTTTTAATTGACCCTTTTTTGGTTACAATAACAGAGAATTACCATGGAATTCAATCTAAATTATTACCACTTTTTTATTTATAGACATGAATTTCAACTTTCAATTTCCAAAAGTGAAAAATGAAATAATCAAACTGGATGAAAACTTGGTTTCACGTGAACGATAAGGCTGTTATGTTTTCATGGTAAGAACGCCCCCAACCTGTAAGATCATCCCAAGCGTTCTACAGCACTTTAAGCAGCAAATGGACCTCTGTCTACACACAATAGGAAACCCACCAAATGGATAGCACACCTTCAGAAAAAGTATATATAGATAGATGTATATATAGATTTATATTCATTTTGAAGCTTTTTAAAAGAGTACAGTTAACACTTCTCACATATTATATAAACTACTGAACAGCTTAGAATTCAAAGGTGAAGCCCACCACTGTCCAGACCCACTAGGTGGTGAAAAAAGAAAAAGCAGAACTTAAAAAAATCACAATCTTTCCTTATAAAGTTGAAGTACTGTAGCTCTGAGGAGAAGACACCTGACCACACAAACTGAATAGAAAAACAGTAAAGTCTAAAACAGTGGTATTGCATTTAAAATGCACAAATATCTCCTGTACAACTGGCTTCTGCTGTGAGTATAAACATCTAAAGGGCTCAGTGACGTCGTTGTTCCGTTTCCTGTCTTTTTTTGTTGTTCTTTTATTTTTTTCTTCTTCTTAAAAGATGTACATTAGTGCTGCAAACAGGCACACACAAATCAGAGCGGAGAGATGTTCGTCCTCCTCCTCCGTCCTCGTCCTCCGTCCTCCGTCCTCGTCCTCGTCCTCCTCCTCCTCCTCCTCCTCCTCCTCCTCCTCCTCCTCCTCCTCCTCCTCCTCCCCCCTCATTCTCCTCCCTCTCTATTAGTTCCGTTTTCAACTCTGTCTCAGTCCTGCTGAGAGCGGTGGGGTCCTCGTTTAGAGCTGTCTGCCTGTCCGTCTCCTAACCGTGTCTCTCTGTTCGTCCCCACCACTTCCAACCCCTCCAGAGTCCCATAGATAGTAGTATCCAAGGCCGGCAGTGTTCCAATAGGAGGGAATGTTGTCCACAGAGTTCCGTGTTCCGTAGGAGGAATGTCAGTCAGACGTGGTACAGCAAAAGGAAATGGAGTCTGGAACTTTATGCTCTATTTCGTTTTTGTAGTTTTGACTGATTGTGCAAAGTCATGCGGTCTCTGGTATGTCCACGCGAAAGGAGCTAGCAAACCCTTTTCCTCGCTGCAAGCAAAGAACACACGCTGATTAGGGGTCAAGTTTGTCTGAGAGAGAGAGAATAAATTACAGACAGTGCATCTAAAGCAACCTTCATTTATTTACTCAGTGTTGTAAGACAGTCAAGAAAACACGGTTAGGAAGATTAGGAAGTACTTCATCCGTTCTCTTCTAGAATCATTTCAATCCACTCAGTGAAATCACTCATGGATAATGTGTGGAAATATGGGTCTGCGTCTCTGAATATATTGCATGCCCAATTTATTTAGGACAGCAACAATTAGTCTTAACTCAAATGGGCCACGGCCGACATGGAAACAAATGGAGCTACCCCTCCTCCGCAACCTTTTCCCCCTCCCCTCCCCCTCCCCATGACAGCTCAACAATCCCCCAGCTAGCAGCAGCTCTATGTCATCTCTGTTTGATTAGGGTAATGACCAACCCAGTATCTGCCACAGGCCTCTGCCTGGGCCGCCGTCTCTGGCTACAAGGGGCTCTGTGTATCCGGATTACCTTATCAGATTAGGGAAAGACACAGCCTCTTAGTATCATGAGAATATCCCCCCTGTCCCCCCCCTGATATCCCCTTACCAGACCCCCTAACAGACATCCCCTAAACAAGGAATGTCTTGTGGTGATTAGCTCTACGACCATGTATAGTCACTGAGACAGAAAGGAGGAGAAGGGGGTTTAGACAGAGATGAAGGTGACATATTCATCTGTATAGAGTCTCAACCTCATCTGTATTCATCAGAGGTAGTGCTTTGATACAAATATAAAAACTGGTATGACTGTCAAATGTTTTCCCTTCTGCCGCATGCCGTGGCTGTGAATTAAGGTGGTAGGGGAGACAGCGTGACTCCAGCAGTTTGATCATTTTTCGAGCTAGTTGTGTTGAGAGATGAAAGGACAGGGAACACTTAAAGCAGCGCTTGACAAAATTATAATGAAGCATTATCACCAAATTGCAGTGATGAGGATGCTTCTCTTTCTGCCCTTTCAAAAGGGAGTTTAGAAACAGAAATTCCTTATGGAAATATGCCTCTTCTTCCATCTGCTCTCCTCGATTATCGAAAACGGTTTTGATCCTAGGAGCTAGAGTAATACCATCAGATGAATACGAATGAGAGGGTAATCTCTTAGCCTCTATTGTTTTAAACAGATTAAAAACACTCCTTTTTTCATTCCTTTTCTGAGCGAGGGAAGCAGCTTGTATATGAACACATCCATCTCCCCATAATGAGACAAGCTATACATCATGTCAACGTCTCAGCGATGTCAAAATTCTCTTATGGATTCCAAACTGTACTCTAATTGATCATGGCACATTTAATTCAAAAGGCACTTAGATACCGCTGCTGGTGGTGGAAGGAGAGAGTGAATTGATATGGAAGACTGTGACGGAAGATAAGATCATCACAGATAGAGAGAGTGATAATAAAGATGTGTGAAAAGAAGAGAGAGAGAGTTAGTTAAAGACTGACAAAAGGGTGAATTAGATGGGTCAGCGGACTTGAAAGAATTTCATGGCACTTCGAGCCAATGGGGGAAAAATGTAATTTGATATTTTTTGTATTGTTCAAATCAATCATCAGATCAGGGTTGGTTGGTTGAGAGAGTAGAGTGGGTTAGCTACAGCGCTGCCGTGCAAAACGGATACTCACTCAAATAGGCAGGTTTGTAAGGCGCTTGCGTGCTAGACAGAAGCGCCTCAAACTCTTTCCTCTCTAGCGTGGCTTGGTTGATGTGGGTGGCATGGTGGTGGATGAGGTGGAGCTGGTTTTGGTAGTGGTTTTGGTGGTGGTGGCTGAGGTGGAGGTGGTTTTGGTGGTGGTTTTGGTAGTGGTTTTGGTGGAGGTGGCTGAGGGGCATCTCTTTGCCAAAGGTGGAGAATGACTTATCGCCCGTTTGCTCTTGGCTTTCAAATACCTCAGTGTCGGGCACAGAGTCCATGCCTGGCACGTGCAGGTTGCTGCGGTAGTCTGCCGCCTGGCGCCCGTCGGAGGGCACGAAGGAGGGCATCCAGCAGCGGTCAGAGTGGCCCAGGGCCTTGCACTCCTCTGTGCAGTTAGAGAAGAGATCAGCACCTGGGGAAGGAGGGAGGAGAGAATAAGAGGGGGGAAGGAGGGAGAGAGGAGAGAGAGTTAATGGTCATAAAGGGCATACTCCGTTCATGTTCAAACAAGACAAAAAGGAAGCAGGAGAAACAAGCACACACACACACACACAAACACAAGCTGATGTGTGTGTGTGTGTGTGTGTGTGTGTGTGTGTGTGTGTGTGTATGTGTGTGTGTTTGTGTGTGTATGTGTGTGTGTGTGTGCGCGCGCGCGCGTGCTTGTGTGTGTGTGTGTGTGTGTGTGTGTGTGTGTGTGTGTGTGTGTGTGTGTGTGTGTGTGTGTGTGTGTGTGTGTGTGTGTGTGTGTGTGTCTGTGTGGGTGTGTGTGTGTGTGGGTGTGTGTGTGTGTGTGTGTGTGTGTGTGTGTGTGTGTGTGTGTGTGTGTGTGTGTGTGTGTGTGTGTGTGTGTGTGTGGGTGTGTGTGTGTGTGGGTGTGTGTGTGTAGACTCAGATCTCTAAAGATAAACTCTCAGCCTCGCTGCACAGGGAAAGTTCAAGAGGTCACCGTCTTCCTCTTTCTACCGTTACACTAAAGCGAGATTCAAGCAAAAACAGCCTTTTGTGAAAACCAACCAAGACTTCTAAAATATACAGTAACGTTATACATGCAATACACCATACTTCAAGTTTTATGAGGGATGCGTATTCATGTATTATGTATGGTGTGTGTTGTAGTTTTTCTTTGTTTTAATTGCCATTGGGAAATAGAGAAACAGGCTAAATTCATTGAATCATTTACTGGGGTTGAAGTTTGAGAGGTCAGTAAAGGGTCAGGCCCGGTGGTTTGTGTGTGTGCCCCTCTGTGGTAGTCTTTCTCTCTGTGATCTCTCAGCAGGTATGACTGGTCACGCAGAGTGAGAGATGTGTTTAAAACCATTAACATCACACTATTACACTCGCAGAGCTTCCTGTGACCAAGGTATTGGATCATGGAAACCACAGGCTCAATATTATTGGATTACCTAGGTTGCTCACTTCCTTTCAAACTGGCCATGCAATTACATCAAATGAACGATTGCAAGAACAACAACTGTTGAAATAAACCAGTCCTTCAGCATTCTGTCAAAGAGGAAGTTTGTGAATGTGCACGTGAGTCCATGAATAACAAATCAAATCAATGTCTGATTTAATTCAGATAGATACTAATATTTTTGGATTAAGCAAAACCAGGGTATTTCCTAACTTAATCTGTTTTAGTCCATGTGGCATAGGACATGGTTTAGTCTACGTTTTTAACTCAAACATACTGTAAGTCCTTTGTTGTGTGTGTCTGAGTAAAACCCAAACTGCTCACCAACAGTATCCTCAGATAATCCTATGATATAGACTGATTAGTCTTCAGACTGCTGCTTTGTGTGTGTGTGTGTGTGTGTGTGTGTGTGTGTGTGTGTGTGTGTGTGTGTGTGTGTGTGTGTGTGTGTGTGTGTGTGTGTGTGTGTGTGTGTGTGTGTGTGTGTGTGTGTGTGTGTGTGTGTGTGTGTGTGTGTGTGTGTGTTTCCACGGGTCAGCATAAGGAGAATTTGCTGTTACAAAGCGGATTCATTTGGCTCGGCGTCACTAACCACTTGGAATAATGCCGACGAGAGAGTTTGTTATTAAATATTAACAAACCCATAAATACACCATCACGTTGAGTGTCAGCACTGAAAGTTAAGTTTGTCCTATGGCATTATGTATCTACTAATAGAGACTCCATACTCAATAGATCAATGAGTGGTTTCGGTAACACTTTATTTGGATAGTCCATCTGTAGATGCTCTACAAACTATCAGTAACATTTCAACTAACTATCTACTAACCCTAGCCCTAAACCTAACCTTAGCCAGCAGTTGCTTATCAACAGACAGTTTGTTGATAGTATGACCGGACTAAAATCCGGACTATCCAAATAGTGTGGCCGTGTTTTCTACCATACATTTACCCGTCATTTCAACAAGTGGTACCTGCACTTCTTTAGATATTCACCAAAGCAATGTGACAATAACCTATGACCCTGGATACTGAACATATTTCCATATCCAATAATCACATGACGAGGGTTTTGAATATGAATCTCTTTTGCATTTTAAACAGGGCCCATGCCCTGGCATTTAGAGTCTGGAGAAGTGATAAGGCACACACACACACACACACACACACACGCACACACACTCCGAGGGAAACGTCTCCGCTACAAAGCCAGATCAAGACTTTTTGATATTTCTTGACATTTTAGGAAATTAGATGTTCCATGAGGCACATTAGGTGTCTCTTCAGAAGAAAAAAAAATAAGAAAGGAAAAACACCACTGTGTATCGAATGTACATGTCCTCAGTAAAGCTGAAGGTTTAATAAAGATGTGAATGAATATCCACATTATTTCTGGGCCGTAGTATTTTAACGATGTTACCGATCAAACATGAGAAAATACTTACAGCCCCAGTCCAAGGCTATACAGTACATCAGTTTGACTTTAATTACCACTGAACGCACTGTGTCAACACGTCTCTCCCTTATTCAGAGAGAGAGAGAGAGAGAGAGAGAGAGAGAGAGAGAGAGAGAGAGAGAGAGAGAGAGAGAGAGAGAGAGAGAGAGAGAGAGAGAGAGAGACAGAGAGAGAGAGAGACAGAGAGAGACAGAGAGAGAGAAAAAGAGAGAGAGAGAGCGAGAGAGAAAGAGAGAGAGAGAGAGAGAGAGAGCGAGAGAGAGAGAGAGAGAGAGAGAAATTAAAATTGTTCGAGCGAGAGAGACTGTCTGTAAATGCACTGACCCCCTACTTTATTGTGTACGTCTCTATCTTATGATTCTGCACGGCTCTCGAGCAGGGCAAACAGCAGTCTTGATAATAACCTTCATTTGGTAATTGGTATGCAGAGGTCTGAAAATGAATTACTGATCAGCGAGCTGTTACCACGCCGATAACGTGAACCGCAGGCCTAAGGAGGGATTTGCCACGGCAACTGGGGAATGAGGAGGGGGGAAGATGGATAGGGGGATAGTGAAGTGGGAAGGAATGCCAATTCCAAAGTTCCAAAACAGTAGGGTGACAATGTATCCATAGTCTAGGTTATAATAACAGTCTATATAAGATAGGCTATGTCATCTCTGATGCCAGCACAGTAACTCCACTGCTTGAGTCCATCCAATATCAACAAACCTTTATTCACCTAAATGATAATTGTTTTCAATCACAATCACAGTGCTATAATTACCCTATAGTTCACCCTGTCCTCATTAAATTAAGGAATGTTTCATGGAAAATAAAATATAAACTGATCAAAATAAACACAGTAATTTCCAAGTGTTGTGCAAGCAGACGATGCTAAGCCACGCTATCAATTATCCTAATCAAACAAAGACTAAATGCACAGCAATTAATCTCTTTAAAGACATTAAGCTCTCCGATAATTCCATAACAAAGCAACAGTAGCCTATTGCCATACAAGGGTACTCAAAGTCAAAAGCAAAGACAGTAAGTCTACTCAATACCACACCATGGAGTCAACACTTAGCATTAGGAGTCTGGTCAAGCCCTACATGAAGTAAAGAAAGGTTCTATGAATAATGTATTGATCCTGTAGTGTCTATATAGAAGTAGCTAATACTAGCCTGTAGCAGCTAGTTATGGCTAAAATGTAAGCTGTAGATGTATGATATAAACTACCTAAATAAATGCCTTTTGGTTGAACATCAAAGGTGTTCAATCTGAGAAGTGACTTCATAAAGAAGTCCAAGCTAACCAGATAAAACTTAAAACAGGATGCTTCCTTTAAAACGTCTGTGTATATCCACAGGCTTACAATAGTGGCATTTTAATTTCTAGACATGGCTAATTTCGCATGCTGTGGGTTCACCCCCTGGGCTGACCATGTTTCTATCCAAAAAAACATGGGCATAGACACACACACAGATGGGGCTGGACCAAAGCAATCGCACGGATTAATGACGAGATAACGGAATGCACATCTAAGGAGCCCAATTGTAAAAACCCGGTATGTGATCCTTTAGGTGAAGCAGATAAAAGATGACGGGCAAGGAGGAATGCAGTCAGGGCGGTGGTGGGGGCTGGGCCTAGGGCGGGCAGCAGCACCCAGTGCAGTCAATGAATGAATCGTTTGTTTGTCTGCGCCCGCAACCTATTTGGTCCCGTTCCCACACGGCAGCGCCCAATGACAAGCCAACCGGTCCTCGTTATAAATTTCGTCACGTTCCCGTCAAGTGGTCCCTAGCAGCGGGCCCACCCTCATTAACGACCTTGCATATTTACTAGCAACAGGCTTAAATTCAGCAGAGCGTCATTGTCTCAAAACAATAACAATATTGAGCTACAGCCAGGAGAGCGAAGTCACTATCACAGGACGACTAGAATATACGAAAAGTTGCCTATTCTTATAGTTGCCTAAACCAGAAGAGTTTATATATCACATGGTAGTAGAAAAACACTATAGCAAATATTTCTTAAGTCCTAAGCACATTTTCAATATGTGAGATGGTGAGAATGAGCATGACACGACTAGTCAGGTATTCTGACAGCAGCCGAGATTCGGCAGAGCGCAGTGCACAGTGAGTCGCTTTCTTTTCAGCACCACAATGGGAAGAGAGCAGTGGTGATAACAGACAAGCAGCAGGCACGGGAGCGGATACTCTTCTGAAAGCTTGCAAGTGACTAATCTAGGCCTCGATACACCATGGTCGATCAACACCATGGACAGATACAATACAATACACCATACAATAGCCTACTGTCACGATGACCCTCTGCGGGGCTTTGCATGAGGAGAAAACGCGAGAGCAACAAGCCGCACAACCAGCCAAGAACTAACAAGGGGACGGTGGTGGAAGAACTTACCGGTAGAGTGACCTCGATTGGTGGCGTCATGGTCACTGTCGCCCTGCTCGCTGTCACCGTGACCGCTGTCTTTAGAGCTAACGAGATCCGCTTCTTGGAAAGCCGAACTGGACAGAGAATAGGAGAAGAATAAAGCACATTGAAGACGGAAGTGTATTGAAGATAGTGGTAGGCCTAATTTATTTTCTAACGTATGTAACAAATAATACAAAATAAAAAGTTGGCAAAAGAAATTAGCACTGTCAATATCACTATCTTCTTCATCATCATCATCATTCATTATCCTGCACTTCATTATCGTCATAATTGATTGGGAGTGTATTCACAGGTGGGCAGCGCCAGAGAGAAAACCAGTCCTAGGTATTGAGCCACGATCGCATGCTTGTGGTTTGTAGAGTCCCTCCCCTCTGGCATTGAATGGCCACACTAAACAACACTCTCAATCACATCACACGCAGGGCACCAGGTGCGCGTGCTCGTGCTCCTTACCTGTTCACACGCCGAGGTCTGTCCACCAGGTAACTGAGCTCGGCTCGCTGATGTTTGGTCTGAAAGAGATAGGCGGGACATTTTGAGTTTGGGGCGTTGTGGCATTGGATAATCAAAACAGGATTTTCATGAGAACACAAAATAACAACAATTAAATCTAGTGTATGATATCTTATTGATATTTGACGTTAGATTTGATGTGATGTTCAACAACGAAACGTCTCATCTAGGCCTATATTTTGAGAGGAGTCGTTTTAGGCCTCCTAGCCGAGAGCATAGATGGATATACTGCCAGGGAGAAAATTAAGTGGTGCACCTATTCAGGCTGGCGCAACTATAGACGGATCTTTGTTTTAGTGCGACTCAGCACGATCGTGACTGGTGTACGTAATGTGTGTGTTCTCACAGGGGACATGGTCATTGCGCAGAACACAGACACACACACACACACACACACAACACCAGCCTTCAAGGCACCCATATGTTATCCTTATTTATGCTTATCTTATTCCAAATCCAGCCTATTTCAAAATCACGACAAAATCACTTCTGAGCAGAACATAAACATGCAATCATTACTATTTCATTGATAATCTATCTCCCTCAGGACTGCCAACGGCAACATGTCAGCAACTAGCAATCATTATGTTCGGTTGAATTGCCGTTCCGGAAATTAATAGCAGGATATACAGGATTATGTATTATGGAAAATAACAAACATCTTTGTAAGGGACTCTGTTTAAACAATGGGGTGATGCAACATACAGAAAGTTATTTTCAATGTTAGGGATACATCAATTAAATTCCCTGACAATGCGTAATGCATCTTATTTGTCATTATATTTTATCCACATACTAATAGCAGCAGTGAGAATGTTTTTAAACAAGCATATGTTGCAGTTATCACAATCTATATGCAATATACTGATAGCAATTACATGCTGGGGGTATTTGGGGTTTAAAGGTATGAGAGGACTCTTACCTCGCTTGATAAAATGCTGCCATTTGATATGATGTCAGGTTGCTGGTCAGTGTACCCTGTCACTATGGCCCCGCACGGGTTGTGTTCCGTGTCTGTGCTCCTAGATGGGCTACAGGGCTTTAGGAACATGAGGTCGGTTTTGGCCGACTCCGGAGTCAGACATACCTGGTAGCAATAGTTCTGGTTTTGGTGGTGAGAGCCGAAGCTCCCTGACTCTTCCACGGGCACTTGGGCTGTACCGGCCCCGGTGACGTTGGCGCTCTGCACCAGCATGATATCAGACTTGCTGAGCTTTTTCTTGCGGGCTCGCGCATGCCTGCTGCAGCATGTGGCCCACCCGAGGCAGCAATCACTGGTGAGGCACGTGTAGATATTTAGCTTTTTGTCCTTCTGGCAGCGCACGGCCAGCACGATCATAGCCAGGAGAAAGATGAAGGAGACGGAGCCCAGGGCGATGATGAGGATGAGGGTGAGGTCCAGAGTGATCTCCTTGGACTTGGCGGTGCCCCTCTCCCGGTGGTCCTCCACCACACTGTCCACCAGCACCACGAACACACTGGCCGTGGAGGAGAGGGGTGGCTGGCCGTGGTCCCTCACCTCTATCAACAGGTCATACATCTGGTTCGGGTCCCGCTTGGTTGAGACGCGCCTGGCAGTGCGCAGCTCTCCTGTCCTCCAGTCCATACGGAACATGCCGTTCTCGTTCCCTCTCTGGATGCTGTAGGAGAGCCGTGCGTTCTCGCCATCATCTGCGTCCATGGAGACGATACGGGTCACCAGGTAGCCAGGCTCGGCGGAGCGGGGCAGAGGCTCTCTCGCGGTGCCATTTTTACCCAGAGGAGCAATAACGGAGGGAGGGTTGTCATTCTGGTCAACGATGATCACTTTGATCGTGGCGTTCGAGGAGAGCTCGGGGCTACCTGCATCTTTCGCCTGAACCATGAAAGTGAAGTCTTTAAGTTGCTCGTAATCGAATGATCTGAGTGCGTAAAGGTAGCCCGTTTCCTCGTTGATTGACACATATGTTTTCACAGACATACCCTGAATATCACAATCCATTATGGAGTAACTAATGAGAGCGTTCTGTCCAACGTCTGGGTCCAAAGCGGTCACAGCGTGGATATAAGCACCTGGCACATTGTTTTCAGTCACATAAACATCATATATGGGCTGCGTAAACGTTGGCGCATTGTCATTTTCATCCGACACTTGCACTTTTATTGATTTACTGGTGGCGAGGGAAGGGGTCCCTGTATCCTTGGCAACTACAGTCACTGAATAAGTGTCAGCATTCTCCCTATTTAGAGGTCCGTCTGTTACAATGGTGAAATAGTTCCTAAAGGAGGGTTTGAGTTTGAACGGGACATCACCGAGGATTTCAACATGAATCTTTCCGTTTTCCTCAGCATCCTTGTCCGTCACGCTCAGCAGGGCTATAACGGTACCCGGGGCTGCCCTCTCGCTCACCGACTCGGTCACGGTGCTAAAGGTGATATCAGGAGCATTATCATTTACGTCTGTCACTTTCACCAGAACTTTACAGTGTGCAGCCACGGCATTGGGTCCGAGATCTTTCGCCTGAACGAATATTTGATATATGCTGCTCTCCTCAAAATCCACCTCGCCGCGCACCTCGATTCGTCCAGTACGTGCATCTATGGCGAACAGATCCTTGACACGGCTGGAGATGTGGTTGCTGAATGAATACACTATCTCCCCGTTCTGCCCCTCGTCCAAGTCGGTGGCGTTCAGCTGGATAACGAGGGTCCCCACCGGTGCGTTCTCCTGAAGGCTCACCGAATACACCGGCTGGTCAAACACGGGCACGTTGTCGTTAGAATCCAGCACTTTGACCACCAGCAGAGCAGTGCCTGTCCTGGGAGGCTGCCCCCCGTCCACCGCAGTCAGCACGTACCTGTGGGCCGCCTGCTGCTCCCTGTCCAGCGGCTTCTCCAACACCAGCTCCGCGAATTTGTTCCCGTCGGTCTGCGTCTGCACATCCAGGTAGAAGTAGTTATTGGTGGTGATGTCGTATGTGCGCAGGGCGTTGGAGCCCACGTCCGGATCGAATGCACTCTCCAGAGGGAACCGGGTACCGGGGGTAGCGCTCTCTGAAATCTCCACGGTGATGTCGGTCTCCGGGAAGCTGGGCGGATTGTCATTGATATCCACGACCTCTATCTCGACGCGGAACAGCTCGAGTGGGTTCTCCAGAAACACTTCAAGGTGTAATAGGCAGCTGGCACTCCGCTTACAGATCTGCTCCCGGTCAATTCTTTCGTTGACGAACAGAATCCCGTTCTCCATGTTCACTTCCAGGTACGGCGTCCGCGAGCTGGGCACCACCTGGAAGCGGCGCGAGGCGATTTTGGTCATGTCCAGTCCCAGGTCCTCCGCGATATTCCCCACGAATGTGCCGTGATCTGCCTCCTCCGGCACAGAGTAGCGTATCTGCGAGACCACTCCATCCGTAATACACAGAAGAAGGAATAGCACAATCATCGCCAAAGAACAAGTGCACTTGGGAAAAAATCTTATCCTTTTTTATTTAACGCATCAATTCCCATTACCACTAGTCCAATGAAAGTTCCCAAAATGTATAAGGCTTTTGGAGAAAAAAGGTGCCTTTTAGTAGTCCCGTCAACCGTGGACCATCTTGTTTGTGATGGTTAATGCAGGTCTGATTACCCCCAAAAGCCTGTCTTCAGTGCCAAATCAACAAGCTCTGGGCTACTTCAGATGCGTCCGGTTATGGTAGCAGTGCACATTCCAATGATGCAGAGTGCTATTTAAGTGATGAGGAGATTACTCTAAATGCATATCAATTTTAAACCATCATAATCCGTACCATGCATCTAATCGATGCATTTTGTCATGAGCTCTTCCTAATTATGCCTATTATCAAACAGCCACTGTTATCTGACTTTCTCTCGTCTCTCTCTCGCTCCAGTGATATCTGTTCCCTATTGTGCACACACTGCGGCGGTCTCCTCTCCGACTACTGAACGCTCTTCACTCAACTATTCGCTTTTTCCGCAGCGCACCTACCCTACCAGCCAACGGGATTTTCGGGAACCAGCAGCGCTCACTCATCATTGGACGGTTGGGAAGCCTGTCAACGCTGGACAGCGCTCTCTGTTATGTGACGCTCTAGCCCAGTTGCTGTTTCGAGCTGAATACCTAACGAGGAAGATACATTTTACATTTACATTTTAGTCATTTAGCAGAGTTAGTGAGTGCATACATTCTTTTTTGTCTTTTTTCCATACTGGCCCCCGTGGGAATCGAACCCACAACCCTGGCGTTGCTAACGCCATGCTCTACCAACTGAGCTATATCCCTGCCGGCCATTCCCTACCCTACCTTACCTTGGACGACACTTGGCCAATTGTGCGCCGCCCCATGGGTCTCCCGGTCGCGGCCATCTACGACAGAGCCTGGATACGAACCAGGATCTCTAGTGGCACAGCTAGCACTGCGATGCATTTGGAAGAGTGGAGGAAGTTTGGGGTTTTATTGTTCTGAACAAAACCACAACACCCAATTTCTTGTTTTTTAGGAAAACAGAACACAATAATGAATTAGATGATTGTCTTTGATTGATAGGTTATAACTGTGTATGCTTCATTGTAGGCTGCGTGTAGACTATTTGTTTGAGGATAATGTATGGAAATGCGAGATGAATAGGCCAGATATGAGTCAGTCACGTATATTCTGATGAGGCTTTTACGCACCACAGTGTGAGTATTCCTCATGCAGCCAACAACGTCTGCACCTTCTCTTTTTAACTGCGCTCACGCTAAACCGGGATATATGTGCAATATTTCTGAGGCTCTAGCTACACAAGGTGTAAACCACAGACCTTACACGTCCCCTAGCGGCCAAGAGAGAAACATCAAATCAAGTTCACCGGTTCAAATCTCGCCCAGAATGGCATAGGTTACATGTATCTTATTTTCCTTTGTGTGTGTTGTTGCCTTTGTTACGATGTGCTGATATAACTGGATAAAATACAGATCCCACATCACCAGAGCTGCCCATAACGTCAGACAGTACAACAACGCACATTCACGGGCAAGACATACAAAGAAAGTGATTCATACACAAGAAAAATTGATTGTAATTTAAGTGGATTCTGACCTTCAACCTGGAATAGTGTACATGCTTTATCTAAAGTGTAGTGCATTATTAGATGATCACTGTAGGAAGTCTAATGAAATCTAATCTAATCTAATAAAAAAAAAGAACAAGGCTGTATAGATGCTAATGCTATTGAGTGGAGTATGTACACTGGCCTTGATGAACTGGATGGAGCGCTATGTCTAACATCTAGCTTTAGAGTGCCCATTGTGGTGAGTGGTACACTGATGACGCATTACATATTGTGAGGCATTGAATACTATTTTGGGTGTACTTTTACTTCTAATGGAATCAAATGGATTCATCCCAATACTCTTACACAACAGCCTTTTCCTATGTGGTTTTATTTGCTATCACTGATTTGAAAGGACTTGATAGATTGCTGGCAGTCTATGGGGGTCTCTCTCTCTCTCTCTCTCTCTCTCTCTCTCTCTCTCTCTCTCTCTCTCTCTCTCTCTCTCTCTCTCTCTCTCTCTCTCTCTCTCTCTCTCTCTCTCTCTCTCTCTCTCTCTCTCTCTTCTCTCTCTCTTCTCTCTCTCATATAAAGGCCTCATAAATATGTCATATGAAAGTATTCCTAGCCTGGTCCTCAGAGGTCTGTGTTTCTAAGGATTGTACTGGAAAACAGCCAATGAGTTGGTCAGTGTTTGGAGTGGGGTAAAGTTGCCCCTGGACACTGATCTGAGCTCAGTTTTGTATTTCTCCCTCCTATGTTTTAATGTTAGGAATGTGGCAGGGTAAGCTGATCCTAGATCTGTGCCAAGTGTTCCGTGGGCACGGGCTTATGAACACAGGTGATAAGAGGAGAACCTGTTCAGGCTGCCAGAGACCAAGAGCTCCCCCTAGTGAGCAATGACGATTTGCTTTTGCAATTGCCTGCTAAAATGTGTGGTACTTTCTCCCTCTGTTGCACATCTTCCTCTTATCCTCTTTGATCCGAAAAGGAGACATTTCAGGTTTCCTGCATGGGCTACACATTTTAGCAGGCAATTGCCAAAGCAAATCATAATATGCCACAGGAGGGTCAACATCAGTTGCATCCAAGAGGAGATTTAATCCTTAAATCAAGTCACATCAAATCAGTAGAGTCTATCTGCCGCGCTGCTTTACGGTACACTCTAATGGCCAGGGGAGAGTGCAACAAGTAAGGGAGGGGGGGGGGGGGGGGGGGGGGGGATAGAATCAAGGCTCCATGATTATTTTAGGACATTTACTGATTTGAATATTATAAATCTGATTATCTCTTCCTCTCTCTCTGTTCATAGGAATGGAAGGCAAAGTCTCTCTCCTCAAACAGTGTTTTATGTCCAAAAATAACCTTCACTGTGTTGTCAATGGCTCCTGTTCAATCTTGAGGATGTACTACTGTAACAGCATGTGTAACAGCACTCCCTACGGGATACAACATACAACACAATCCACCGCTCCCTACGGGTTACAACATACAAGACAATCCACCACTCCCTACAGGCTTCAAGGTATGCAATACAACCAGAGAACCAGGATAGAGGAGAGCTGTATGTGGTTTCAATGTTTGATGGCCGTATGTGTCAGCGTCACTCACTGCCTGCCTGTCTCACTCTCCTCGTTTCAGACTGAAGCCTCTCTCTCTCTCCCCAGGGGCTCAAGGCCCATATTGGTTTCACACGATCTGTCTGTCTGATGGAGGAGAGTGAGGCTTTTAGTCAGCTTCTCCCAGTGTTTGAGTGTGTGACAGGCACCATTCTGGACACTTGTGTATGTGTGTGCATGTGTGTGCATGTGCGTGCCTGTTGTGTGTGTGAATGTGAGTGTGTTTATGGCGAGGGCGGGATAGGGGGAGAGAGGGGAGGTGATATAAGAAAAAGTGTGATATTTTGTTTTAAAGTAAAAGGACCCCTGTTTAAAAATTAAAATGCCTCCTCTGGAACCGGCGTGAATTCAGAATGTCATGTCTTGGGATTGTGAACGTGGCTGCATGAGCGAAGGTGACAGGCATCCCAAGGAAACACAGGAAAGGCTTTTAGAGTTCACAGACAATGCAGTTGCTTCCTAGGCCACTATACAGTCACTGTACTCACTGTACTGGCGTGACAGTGTTTAATCTCCATAAGGACAGTGTTATGGGGTGGTTGAGTCCTCTCACTTCATAAGGTAGTGTTAAAGGACCAGTGCAGTCAAAAACTAGATTTTCCTTTGTTTTATATATATTTCCACACTATGAGGTTGCAATAATAATTTGAAATTGTGAATATGATTATACAGCCCTTTTAGTGTAAGAGCCTTTTGAAAAGACCGCCTGAAATGTCAGCCTGTTTTGCTGGGATGGAGTTATGTCCTGCCTGGTGACATCAACAGGCGGTAAATTAGTTTGCCAATAACAGCTAGTTTTCAGTTTTCCCATCCTGTCTAAGACCACTCCCAGACAGTCCTAGCAAAATGTATTGCTTGAGAAATGTCTCTTTGCTAAGAAGCTATTTAGTTTATTTTTGACCATTTTAATTGAAAGAAATCAAAGTAAGGTACTTAAAAAACCCTCTAGGGTCTAAGCCCTGTCTTAGCCGGGGTAGGGGGTTCTAAGATAGCATATGGAATTGTTTTAAGACGGTCATACCAAGGACCATTTAGCTATTTGATTTGGAATTGTAAGACCCCTTAATGGTATAATATATATATATATATATATACAGTACCAGTCAAAAGTTTGGACACACCTACTCATTCAAGGGTTTTCCTTTATTTTTACTATTTTCTAAATTGTAGAATGATAGTGAAGACATCAAAACTATGAAATAACACATATGGAATCACATAGTAACGAATAAAGTGTTAAACAAATCAAAATATATTTTCTATTTGAGATTCTTCAAAGTAGCCACACTTTGCCTCCATGACAGCTTTGCACACTCTTGCCGTTCTCTCAACCAGATTCATGAGGTAGTCACCTTGAATGCATTTCAATTAACAGGTGTGCCTTGTTAAAAGTTGATCTGTGGAATTTCTTTCCTTCTTAATGCGTTTGAGCCAATCAGTTTTGTTGTGACATGGTAGGGTTGGTATACAGAAGATAGCCCTATTTGGGGAAAAAACAAGTCCATATTATGGCAAGAACAGCTCAAATAAGCAAAGAGAAATGACAGTCCATCATTATTTTAAGACATGAAGGTCAGTCAATATGGAACATTTCAAGAAATTGCTTCAAGTGCAGTCGCAAAAACCATCAAGCGTTATGATGAAACTGGCTCTCATGAGGACCGCCACAGGAAAGGAAGACCCAGAGTTACCTCTGCTGCAGAGGATAAGTTCATTAGCGTTACCAGCCTCAGAAATTGCAGCCCAAATAAATGCTTCACAGAGTTCAAGTAACACACACATCTCAACAT